GCCACCCACGTGTCCAATGCACAAAGCTATTCTTCACGCGCACAAAAACACGCGTACGCTGTCTTTCGGCCCCCTGATCCACAGACGTGTGCATGTCTACATTCGGTCTATAATCACATATTTTCCCACCCAGGAGCCATAGGAGGAATTTCGTTAGTGACGTTGATGCGGGCGAAATGGCCAATATGAGCATCTGTACGCCTCAAATGTGTTTTTTGGTGAAGTTTAGACAGGTGGAGTGAATGGCTTTGGCGTACATGGCCCTCGTAGATAGGGTTTTCATGCCACATCAGCCTTTTGTGCTAAATCCCATTATCAGTCCATTAACAGGTGCGGACAGGTCCCTGGTGCGTGAGAGAGGGAAGAACCACTGGGTCCGGTTCTGGGCCGCCTCGCCTCATGGCACTTCAGCGTACTCCCCTCTATGATAAACCTGACTAGCTAACAGTCATGACTTAAAATCATGTCAGCTGGAGGACAGCATGGCTCTCCGTTGTAATGAGGGTCAAAGTACAGTGGTACGTGCTTGATGCAGATTTCACAGCGCCTTGCATTCCTCTGGGACCCACGTCAGAGCGTGTCAATAATTTGACGACGACTTCACGTCAGTGCACTACCGTCCCAAAGGTCATCACCGGTTGGTTTTGCTCGGACGAGCTACTGGTGGATGGGAGAGAGAAGAGCTCGAGTCAGCTTAAGTCCGTCAATACCAACAATCGACTGCGCTTTAAATCTTTCTCGGCGAGATAACGGCCGTTGCTTGGAAAGTTGCTAAATGATGAGATAATTCGATCCTAGAAAAAAATTGGGGCCAGGCTGCAATGTCCTCTTCGAAACGTGGTCTTTATAGTGCCCTCACCTTCTTGGCATGCAAAACCCCTCTGAACGAATTCAGGCATGTGCGGAGCAAGGGATAAAACCGTTTGCGACACGTCTAGGCTGACTGCCTAGATTTGTCAGTCTCCGTGTTCACGTCCACATCTTGTCGACTTATTATTGTCCCGTCACCGGAACGTGGAAGGTGTGAAAGGCATGAGGTAGATTTGACAGAAGTATGTTTAACCAGGTCACTTCTTGGCTCAGTTTGGGATTAATAATGGACCTCGACGTTTGCGATGGTTAAACTATCGACGGTGCTCACTAGTCTGCGTTATAAATCATCATATCGCCAAAGAATAATTCAGCCTGCGGAGAAGCTGTTCAACTTGACGGATAGTCGATTTCCACACAAAGTTACCTAGTTTTCCGTCCAAGCCTAGGTACGGGAACTGAATATACGAACACAAAGATGGACCTGGCGGATAACGGTTTCGCATTCTGGCCGACCGGTAATAATTGAAGACGGCCTCCCGAGCATCTATTTTATCATAATAGCTGTTTCAGTCTTTGAGTAACGTTGTACAGCCTCGAGCCCTCTCAGACAGCAGTAGCTGGCTGCAGACGAAGAGAGATGCTGTCAGCATTGCCTCTGCGCCCCACTCTGTGAAGAACACCACGGACCTCGTCGCAACGGATGAACTGTCGAGCGAGTTACAACCCGTCAGTCAATGACCCCGTTTTAGGATTGGTATATGCGGGGTGAGGTGGAGCTGCATCATACCCTCGTAAATTGACTGTGAGAAGAGCGGGTAACGGCATGGACTTAATGCACCAATCTTCTCTCTCCCCCTCCACCCAACATATTTTTCCAGGCGCTATAGGGAAGGTGCAATTACTTTTTATGCTGAAGACTATGGAAATAGCAAATTCATAGGACCAAAAACCCGTGCTGGGAAGATTGGACGCAAACTGCTACGTCGACTCATACGCTTTTGCGAATCAATCTACTGGTTCGAAGGGAAGTTAGGTAGGGGGTTGTTGAAAACTCCTCAGCTCAAGGAAGACGCCGAGCGCCTAAATCAACTGGGCGTCGACCGCACTGTTAACAGGCAGCGCTTTCAGCTGGAGGGGTTAAAGGTACGACTACAGATAAGAAGTTATAGCTCGACACCAGAGACGCCCAGAGAAGGCCGTGGGGGGTCACTGTTATTGCAAATAATACAAATTGTTTGCTAACTCTCAGTGACGGCAAAAGATTGTCATCTATTTGATACGAGATTTTGGGACGCAGTGACGTAGGATTGTCTGCTAGAAGTGCAGCCGTGCTCTTGAGTAGAGCTCCCCGGTGAAGGCCGGCCCGCTGAAGGAGCTCGGCGTTGGGTGGTAGAATGAGCTGACCCGTCTGAAGCCAGCACTTATCCCGCGATTCTGAAGGTCCGAGTTAGCATGACACGCAATCTCAGTAATTACAGTAGGTGGGCTAACTCATGAAATGTCAATCGAAATTCCGAAATGTGTTCTCGTTTCGAAAAGATTAATTAAGTAGGGTTGAAAAACTAATCAGACTGCAGTAAAATTCTATAATAAGTCAGTTACCTCAGGATTCCGGCTTTCGAACGAGCTTCGTTCCGGCTGCATACAAAAACTACTCTGTAAAAATGACTACTTGCGTAGCATGCATTTTTCTCATTGATTTTCGATGCTCCTAAAAGTCCAATTATAGTTCATGGAAGACATGCATAAAAATATTCATTCTTTTGCTCAATCGGTAAATAATTACGTCTTCTTTCAATTTGATACTCGGAGGAAGGACATAATTCGGTTTTAAAAAGTTTCTAATTGTGACACTTAAAAACCGTGAAATGGCCGTTCATAAAACGTCATGTCTCTGCATTTATCAATGCCACTTTTAGAGTTAGCAATATGGATCAAATCCACTACTAAATTTTATGAACCCCATATGGTCTCCTGACAATATCGTAGAGAAACGTGCGGTTTTCCGTACGCGAAAAATACATGGTTTGTAGGTTGGAAACCCTAAATGTAAGTGCGACGGCAGAGCGGGTTTAAAAGTACTCGGGAATTAGACAAGTTTTTGAAAACCGAATAATACTCTTCTTCCAAGCATAAAATTGAAATAAGACGTAATTTTCTACCGAATGAGCGGAAGAATGAATATTTGTATCCATGAGCTATAATTGGACTTTTAGGAGCATCGAAAATCAATGAGAAAAATGCATGCTACGCAAGTACTCATTTTTACAGAGTAGTTTTTGTATGCAGCCGGAACGAAGCTCGTTCGAAAGCCAGCATCCTGAGGTAACTGAATTATTATAGAATTTTACTGCAGACTGATTAGTTTTTCAACCCTACTTAATTAATCTTTTCAAAACGAAAACGCATTTCGGTTGACATTTTATGAGTTAGCTCACCTACTGTATAGCTGGCTGTTCTCTTCTACCGAAGATGATCATGCGAAACTCTGCCATCATCTAAGGCAATCACCGGTCTTCTGCGCAAAAGATGCTTGCTGTGCCACCGAAGCAGATGACACTCGAGTCAAAAATAGCTCATTTTGAGAGACAATGAGGCAGTGTAGATTAACTCACAGAGTTCGCACGCGTGGCATAAGTGCCTGTCAGGTATAACGCACAGAACAAGCTCACGTTTCAGTGCTTCTATTTCTTATTGTAGAAATCCCTTTCGGATTATGATAGTTGTCACCTAATTATTCAAGTCTTCTGAAAAAGACTTATTAGGGCACCAATGAAAAACACAAATCACCAGAACGGGTACTCTGAAGGCAACGCCCATTCATCGGTTGCACGGCCACGTAAGTCGACCTCGCAGCATCGGAGTCGACATCTCCGGTTTTTTTGCCGTCACCTCATGATACCACAACCCCAGGCCGTACGCCTGAGGTCCAGAATTGACTCATTTTATTATCAAGCAAGCTACAGGCCTACGTCTTGCCGGCTAAGGTTGAGAGCATTCAGCTACACGGGTGTGGCGCGCACCGACCAATCCAAACCAACGTACAGAAATGAGCATTTTCATTTTGCCTTATAGACGAGCCTACAGCCTACAAGGGCGGCGGCATAGCAACCAGCGATCAGTGACCCGGTACTCCTATCTTTGCCGGTAAAATTTCCTGACTATCAATTGCCCCTCGTCCTGACGCCGCCCGGCCACAGGAGCCATGTGGTCAAGGGAGGAGGGGGCGAGGTGGATGGTGGGCTAGTCTGTCCCACTGTAAACTAACTCAAGCACAAGTCACCCGTGGAACACACGGTGGACGTCGCCACTTGAGACGGTCGAACTGCCGCTCCGGTCTTTGTTGGCGAAACTTCTCGATTATTGATTGCTCGTCACTGCCTCAGACCTAGGTCGCGGTACCGAGGCAAGGCGGAGATGCCCAGTCCCGCCCTGCGATAGTGATAGATCAGTCCACACCACACCCATAAGGCCGAATATAAAACTGCGCCAGAAATGATTTCGTGAACTAGGAGCAATTTTTTTCGGAGCGAGATTTACCAGGTCCGGTCCCAGACTAGTATGTAAACTTTTGAATTCGGCACTGCCAACTTCAGCAGAATAACTGAGCTAGGTCCACGCCCGTGAAGTTTAGCGGCGAACTAGTCAAGTAGCATTGTGAGCATAGTGAATCAATTTCCTGAATGACTGAGGCACCAGATCGTTGACTTGAGGCACTAGTCGCACAAATGGCAAACAACCAGTTGGTGAGGGTTTATTGAGCAGGCGTAGTGCGAGCACAGTCGTTTTGGTGTTTGTGGGGACCAAACCACGATTGAAAATCATTGGTAAAAACACGGCATGTATGCGTGTGGGTGCGTGAGTCAACAGAGGCCGGAGGATGCATTTTTGTTGGGTTGCTTTAATTAAAGAACAATGAATAGAAAAAGGGTGGCAGGTCGGGAAGAGGCGGGAGGCTAAAAAACGCGAATGAAAAAAGGCTGCGGAAAAAGGCGATTTTCTCGTGGGCACGGAGGCACACGTACAGGGAGACGTGGGCGGGAATGGAAGTGGGGCGTCGTCACGACTTTCCACCAATCACAGAGGGGGTGGTACGGGGGTGCTGGTGGAACGTGGGCGGAAGGCTAGGCTGCGTCAAATGCAGCGGAAACACGGTAGGCATTGCTGTAATCAAGTAAAGCAAACTGTTATAGGGGGGAATTTTGCTGAAAGGCCTGGTTCAGCCCTTCGGCCAGGGTTCGGCGTTGCTGCTTCTCGTCCGCAGAGATAAATGAACGCATCGAATCGATGATAATCTTGGAAGTCCCGAAGTAGACATCGTTAAGAACAGCTCGCATTTGACTCTCGAGAGTCTAAAAAAGATAAGAGCACTTGGAAGACAATGTGAAGAGGTGGGTGCGACAAGGTCTGAGGGAATTAGCTCCTCCCATCAACGCCGTCCAGACAGAATCGGAAGTGCCATCTTTCGTTAACAAAAATGAAGCGGTCTGACTTCTCTTGCAAACACGGTGACCCCCTAGAACGGATCTGCAGATATGCATCCCCAACAGACAGCGATCATAAACGGAGCTAGCTAGCTAGTCAGTTTTCAGGTCGGCATTCCTCTGTATTAGCTTGGAAAGTATACGACACGGCTAAATTTCAGCAAGCCTATTAGAAGTGCGAAAGTTGATGAGACTGTAAGCTAAAAACAGTAAAAAACGTTATCCGTAACGAAAAAAACCAACATATGTTTAACATACGGAGTCGTATAAAGTGCGAAACATATTGTTTCATGATGAGAAAGTTGGCGGCCTTGAAGGCAGCGGGAGGCTAAAGAGTTATATTGCCTACTGACAGTACCCTCATGGGTGTTAAATAAAACAATCGGCAACGGTATAGAGAAGGACCCCACTTAACTGTCAGTAGACCTTGGATTGTGCCATACGTGATTTATGGCAAAGGGAGTTCTATGGGTGGCGCAGCACGCTAAACAGTAAGCTGACAAAATGAAAGAAAGCACAGAAATTGCCTGGATTTATGCCGAAAGTCTTATCCTACGCTATTGTACGACGGTTGAAATGAGAGTAGCAATTAAACAATAGGCAGGTTCATTGCAAATAACCCTGCCGAACGACCCGCAAAACCCACCACACTAACCGCCGAAAATAAAACGTTGTTCCTCAAAGTCCCCTTCCAAGGAGACGCTGCAGGTGAACTCCTAAGAAGACGCCTTGACCAAGCTTTCTCGGGAACCTTCCCAGCAGCAAGGGTTCGCATATCATTCTCTACTAACCCTATTCTACGCGGAGAAGGCAAGGATAGAATGCCACCTCAGACCGCCTCAATGTGCATCTACTCATTCACTGGCTCCTGTGGAGCAGGTTATATTGGTCGTACGAGTCGGCGCCTTTCCAAAGGAATACGAGAGCACCTTCCCGCATGGCTGCCAAAGGGTGAAACTAGGAGAATAGACAGCGCCATGCTTGCGCATGCAGTGGACTCAGGGCATCGTGTGGACCCCACTGAAGCATTTCGTGTGATTTACAAGATCCCCTCGAGCTACCCTAAGCTAATAGGCCAGCGCCTGTTAGCAACAGCAGAAGCGGCCGCCATAAGGTTAAGAAAACCGACCCTATGCGCCCAAAAGAACCTTGTTCAGGCTCCGCGCTTACCGTGGTCAAAGGTTGACTAACCATATACAACTTTCTGCGCCCTTCCGCTCTTGCCGAGCCTGTAATTTAAAACCTAACTTTTATCGATTTTTGTTTCACTCACTGTACCCCGCCCCTATGTAACTGTATTGGCCTGATGAGAATTTGCCGAAAGGAACGTTCACTCGCCACTGTCTCTTCTGAAAAATAAATTTCACAAAAAACGGATTTTTAGTTAAGGTGTGAGGTCGTGGGAAGAATTCGTTGTTGGCAGTGTAAGTTCTGCAACAGCCTGCAAATGTATGTCAAGATAAAACCCCAGATGACACGGTCCACAATCTATTGACAGTTAATTGGGGCCCTTCTCTATACCGTTGCCTAACAATTGAATTATTTTTCTGTAAAATTCGTGGACTAAGCACAGTAGCATAAATCCATCTCCCCCACGATCGGGTGGACATAAAAGGTAGTAAGTAATGTTAACTCGCGACCGCGACAATAAAAGAGAAGTTCACGAATTTTATAGAAATATAGTACTGTTCAGTCGCTCTGAAAATGTACTCTAAGTGGTACGCCGGCGTACATCTACGGTCTGCTAGAGGTCTGTGAGGGTAGCAGTTATCCGTTCCGAACGACTGGCTTGAAATACGTTTGTCATACCTTTGTCGGCTGATGTGGAGTTGATAAGACTCCCAGAGCAGAGCCTCCCGTTGAATAATGTCACCAAACCGGATGACCCATGTGATAATGCTACAAAACACATGTTTTGTGGCCGAAGCTCCGAAGGGAACGGGACGCAGCATGCTACTGGTGGCTGAGAGTTTTTCGTGGATAGAATGAAGACGATGTGGATAACATTGTGTTTTGGTAGTCTTTGTGGGATTCTGTTGGCCTGTCAGGAGATCTCAATCACAACGAAAGTCCATGTATAATGCATACCTGTCCAGGTACTCTTATACGGCTGATAGTACCGGGGCGTACCGCTCCGAGTCGAGTCCATAACCCGCTCCATGTGCCCTGGGATCGAAAGTTAGGCGTTGCGGCTACGGCTGTCCAGTTAGCGTGTCTCTTAAGCACTGGAGACTACCAGGCCAAACATCCTTTCCAGGCCGCAAATACCTACGCCTGGTACTTTGGGTGCTGCATCGAAGACAGACTAGTTTGAGGAGATTACGTAGAGGACAATATCTCCCTCAGTCGACAGAGTATGCTAGTAAATAGGCTGGTTTAACAATCATCCGTCACTTCCCGAGTGACGGTGAAGTTCCACACACTCGAAGAAGACATAGTGTTTTAACGGAGACCGAGACGGTATTAGTTAGTAGAAGCATGCAAGTCACATTTTTCAGTTAGAAAAAACATGATTGGCTGAAATCTCGAAGACTGGGATATTCGTCGTTTGTCGAATCTCGCTAAAAGACTACAGACATTTCCGGTGGTGACGAGCACGCTGTGTACAAATCCGAACCAGGAGTCAGAATAAAATCAACTCGTGAATAACGTCCAAACTCGCATGACGATCAGTCGTCTTATTGGGACCAAAGCCAATCCCTGATCCCCATTGACAGTTCACCGTAGCGGATGCTTTCAACAGCCAGTAATATTAAGTGTCCAGCAAAATATATGGACCAATATGCGCATGGCCTGGGACTGAACTAGAACTGAAAACTTTTCATGAATAAAATGAATTAAGAACAACTTATTCTCGAAAAGGGGGAAGTGAGAAGCACAGAAAGGACGACGGGACGTAAACAACCAAGTCATTTCCAGGACAGCAAGATAAAATATTTTGGCAATTAACAGCCTTAATAACCGCTGGAGTTCATTCTGCTCATTTTCATTCAGAAGTTGCAACGCCTGGCCCCAAAAGGAGACGCATGACGCAGTTCACAGAACAGATGAAGCATTGGAAACAGAAAGAGGCGGAGCAGCACGACTGACAAATTACCTCGATCATGGTTCCGATGGTAGCGATATGGTTGACTTCGCCGACCGCACCCTCCCGCTCCATCGATCGGCTGATGTTGCCTCCAATCACAGAGGAGCCGCTCTTCTCGCTGTTTGTGGATACCCAGGCCATCACGGTACTGCTAAGTTTGTAGTGGGCCGTCTTCGCAGCTGGACGCTCCTGTAGGGAGGAGGACCAAACAAACTAGCACACACAAGTAATAAATGCAGGCACTCATACAAGAGAGAAGGCAAATCAGAACACATGCGTTAAAGGTAGACAGGTGGATACGTAGGGGCCTCATGCAGAGGGGAAAGGCGAGCGCGGGGAGTTTCGAGTCCCTTGTCAATGAGGAGGGCGCATACAATTCTCCCTCAAGTGCATTCTTCCTCTGTTGCTCAAAAAATCACACAAACAGTAAGCAGTACGAGCGCGCGCCAAGGGCAGACAGATTGCTGCCTCAATCAGTCCCGAGCAGGGTTGCTTCGATTACCATTTCTGTCGAACGTAGGTCGCGGTACCACTGTTCAAACCGCCATCTTGAGGCAAGGCAAGCTGTTGATAAATTATCAATGTTGCTACTGGAAACTTCAGCGAGGTCCCAACATAATGGCAGCCTGAAATCGTGGTAGGAAAGGCGTAATGAAAAGTGTGATTGGACTACAGGACGGTGTGCACGAGGAAACGTCGAGGAGGACGAGCAGTGCTGAGGAAAAAGCGATAATTACCTGCACTTCGACTATGTGGATTGAGTCCCAGCATCCGCTGGCAGGGGAGGCGTCACCTGTCTTCTTAATCAGGACTGCCATGGCGAAACCTTGTTCCAAGTCCCAACAGTAGACAGATGAAATGCCACCCTCAAAGTACCTGTCCAATGAAATCAAAAGAAATTCATGCCACAGAGCTCACTCCTTTTCCCGGTATTGACTAGTTGGCCCTGAAATGCATCAAATAACTCGAAAAAGAAAGATTAGTGTGAAGGTCCACACTGCTGCGGGAAACGCCCTCCAAGTGGGCATGTAACTGCGCAAATCCCTGGGAAACAAGGAACGGCTGCATAGCAAGCTGTTCGCATAGACTTCGGAGCGTTGCAGGCTCATGCATTTGCTATGGATAAACTGCCATTGGTGCGGCTAAGACTAAGACGCCTCAGACCAACCAGTAGATGGAAGTCAGTAGCCAGACATGAAGTCACTACGGGTCAAGTTGATACTGTGCAAGTTAACCAAAACATGATGAAATACAGGGAAAAAACTATGGAGGATTTAAATGGGTGAGTCTTAGAGGGAAAAGCCCGAGATTACTGATCCCACCGGGGCGGCAGCTGCGATCTGGAGGACTGCCCAAATGCAGCGTTAGGTCCAGTATAGTTCCATTCAGAGGATTAGATTTGCAACGCCTCTACGTCATATAATCATCAAAAGAAAGGACCTACATCGGCCATATATTCAATCAATCTTAAATGATTAAGCCGCAATCGGTCCGGTCGTCGCGTCGCAGACAACGAAGGAGGTCGGGTTAAGTAGATCAAGTCAGCTAGTAAGATAAGTTGTGGACTTTTCTCATCGTCTTTGGATCGGTTCCGCGAACAAAGTCCCATCTGAACATCGGTATTGACTATGTGGCGTTATTGATAATCCTGATCGCCTACCTCCCTCGGTGAGTGGGCGGGCTTAAACAAAGGGAGTCAATCATGGTGGAAATATGTAAAACGTGCTATCTATGTAACGCCGACGGATCAGAGATAAAACAACGGTAATATTGGTCGAGGAAAAATGAGAACAGTATAGACAAAAACTCCCAGACATGTCGGGAATGAGAATCTTCACGGACTGCCACAATAGAACCGCGCATCCTCCCTTTTCAGCACCTGAACGTGCATGAATAAACATGGGAGGATCACAGCGTCACAATTATTCACTTCTGTTCCAAGCGCTACACCACAACAAAGGCACTTCAAGCTAACCCAAACGTCCCGAAGCGTCACGCCAAATTACAACCATTTGACCGACTGCCTGAGTCGCAGGGGCGTCCAGACTAGTGCAAGGTGACCACAACCTCGGCCCCCTAGTCATGCAACAAAACCAAACACGACAACCTCATTAATTCAAATATATTTTGTAGAAAACATGCACGAAGATATCCTTTTTGAGCTCATTTCGAAGCAAATTACGTCTTCAAATCCTATATTTGAAGAAAGAGTATCTTTCGGTACAGAAAAGTTTGCGATTGCCAGATTTTTAAGACTGTGAAATGTTTATATACACAGCGTCGCACCTGACCGTCTAGTAATGTTGCTTGTGAAGTATACAAAACGGTCCACACTCGTTGCAAAATGTTACGAGTCCCATAAGAAGTCTTACACGGAAAGTATACGCCATTCAATTAGAGCGCCTCAAGCGCAAGTGCATCTGCAGGTTAGGTCCAAAATTATTCGGAAATCGAAGTTTTTAAAACCTAAGAATGCCTGGAAGAAGACGTAATTCGCTACCGAATGAGCATAAGAACGTAGCTCTGGGC